TTTTCCCCGACCTTTAACCTCCGAAAATATTCTTCCTATACTTTAGCATTGCAAAATTTTTGGGACTTATTTTATTTTGAGAGTGGTTTCGAGTAAAATGGGGTATTTGTTTCAAACCATCATTATAATCCATGGCATACAACATTTTGTTTTCAAAAGTACCTGCAAAGAAAATAAGCCAAGTCTATGACAGCTATTTCTATACTAATTTTTATTGCTGCAATTAAATTAAAACTCCTAAGAAGACAAAGTGATATTTGAATTATCTGATTTATATTTCCGAAACACAACTGAAAACTAACGAATAAAGTTCAAAAACGCGAAAACGAGGTAATGTTTACGACCATGCCCGAAAATCTGTTTTGAGCGAGAAAAGTGTCTGCAAATCCAGTTAATTAGTCGGACTCGGGTCGGGTTTAATACCCACGGGCCCGGGTCGGACCTGCAAATCCAGTTAATTAGTCGGGCTCGGGTCGGGTTTATTTTGGGGCCCGATCTTACCTTTACCAGCGATACGCTGTTAAATATCATGATTGGCAGACCCTTTGGCGTCAACGAGTAGCCTACATATTGAAATATATCAATCCAAATATAACGTTAATTCAAATCATGTTTGAGAAGAAAATAAGCGGACCACAGAAAAATAAAATAAGCTTACCTGCCAATAAGACGGCCCCCCTGAAATCGAGCTGAAAAATTGGGCCTAGAAAAGCGACTTATTAGCCAGGGAATACGGCAACTTGAAGTATATATAGCAAATACAAGCATAAGTTAAGAAGGATTGTCGTCGCCAATACGGAACGAAATTCGTTTGCGGCCCTTTTTACAATTTCAAAAATGCGATGCGGCATATTGTATGACTTGTATTGTAACTTGTATTTGCTGTCGCGATGTATTATCTTAATGTGTCAACCTTTTAATTAGTGTGCATATTTTGCTTCCTGTCTGCCATTCCAGCTTTCCAAGTGAGCAAAACTTCTTAGATATAATGATTATTTTCTTTCGTTACAGGCGCAAAAAGGCAGGTACTACACGTAAAGAAGGCGGCGCCGAGTAGCAAAAGCGAACGGAAACGGTCGCGAAAGGCGACGATAACTATGTGCATTGGAGCGTATCATGAGATACAATCTTTCGCCTGTAGTCTTATGGAGTGACGTCAGAGTTGCCTATCATGTTGTTTAACCCTTCTACAGGGTTCTCCGGAACGCCCATATGGGTGTACTTTTTGATAAATTGTAAAATTTATGTACTTATAGAGTCAATATCGCTCTTAGCTGTTTATCGACGTAATGCCCTGATATGAGAGAAGCGATAAAACCTTCCAGCCGTGACGCAAAGTGCGAATCGTATAAATATCCTGGATTTCAAAATCACCTGTCAGACGTCTGAAAAATGTGACTCCCTTCAGACAGGAAATACTCCTTTATAACTACTTATTATTGTTTTAGCATGTATTTTCAGTCATACTAACTATCCCTGACAATCCCTGGCGCTGTGTTGTTTTGATAAATATGATTTCGAATGCTCCATAGTTGGCAGAGGTATGGAGATTTTTTGTATGTAAAAAAAACGTAAAATTAATGGTAATTTTAACGCGTAAATGCGCGTATGAGATTGGTTACGCCGTTCTACGCGCATTTCCGTCGAAAAAATTTAATTTTTTTGCATTGGGGGTGGTCTGTGCAGTAATAAAAAGAGCTGTGACGTCATCAGTATCGGTAATTTGACCTTGAACTTGACAATACTGTAAATACAATTGTGAATTTCAGAGTGATAACCATTTATGCTATAATAGTCGTTTTGGTATTGTTATGTTAGGAAAAACTTGACGAAAACGTTGAAGAAAAAATTAATTAATTAGGAATTAATTATTAACCCTCTACTGTACACAGAATATCTCAAAGTCCAATTTTTTTTTAGAAATTTTTGAAATTTTTTTGCAAAATTTTTTTTCGAGGGGTGTGTTTTAAAGATATATTGCTGAATAGAACTCTAGCAGACGCTTTTAAAAACCCATGAATAAAGCTTTAGGGATTAATGGTTGACATAAAAAAATAAGTTTAAAAATACCCATAAAATGGGCAGGGCTTGAGGCTTAAAAAGGGTTTTAAGAAGGATTGTCGTCGCCAATATGGAACAAAATCCATGGATTTAAAATATCCAGCTCTTTATACCCCTATTTTACCTTTAAGCCCTAAGCTGCACAGACTGGCGTCAATAAATGCCATGACTGGGAGGACAATTCAGTTTTATTTAAGAATTAGTAAGATTTTGAAGTTGTTTGACTCCGTAGCAGATTAAAATTCTGTGTGCGAACGGTGGCATAAAGATTATGTATGGTATCTAGTTATTTTTTCATGTTTCTGGCCATGTTCTTCAGGCTGTGATAATTAATAAATTGAACTGGAATGATTTCATTCAAATAAATCATATTGTACGGTTTACGCTTCGTCAGTCTCTCGATTTGAACTCTCGTTTTGAACGCGAAAGCTAAATATGAATAGCCGAATAATAGGCTCCAATATCGCCTACGACCATACCACGTTGAATACACCCGATCTCGTTCGATCTCGGAAGTTAAGCAACGTCGGGCTCGGTTAGTACTTGCATGCAGTATGTTCCCCAGCTTTTCTTTTTAGGGGGGGTGTTTCAAAATTTAGGGGGTGATAAATAATTTGCTGTTAGATATAAAACTAGGCTATTTGTATTCTTAAAAAAATGGTATGTATCTAAGAAACGATGTAGGCTACATGGGGGCCCCCAAGTTGATTGACGCGAGCCAAAATCCACAGCAGAATGTAATTGTAGGGCCAGAAAAGGGGAGCGAGGAAAAGTGCGGGATGACACGGCTGGGGTTCAGGGCGCGCTCAAGCGCCCTGGGAAAATTTTGAGAAATAGGCACCAAAATAGGCTCTAAGCTTGATTTTAGATACACCTAACATCGCAGTTTGTTATGTAATGAAATCAATAATTATAATATTTAGCTGATAGAATTCCCGGGGAATAGATAACAAGCACGGCTTTCAACCGTAAATATATACTATATTTATGTTTTTTGTGAAATTTTTTCCCAGCATGAAAAATTTAGTGGGCCACAGAATTATTGTGCAGCGAAAATGTGCCACGAATGAAAAAAGGTTTAAAACCATTGCTCTAGATTCTAGAATATATATGTGTTATAATCTAAACTATCTTCATGATGTTGAAGACAGACTTGTATACGCTGCGCAAAATTGTCTTGGTTTTGTGGTCTTGGTTCATTGGTTTCATGCTGAAGCGCACTTTCTGCTACCTGGGCATGTCAATAGCAAAAATATTGTTTACAGGGAGGGGCACATTGGGAAGTCTTACAGAGAACGCCACACCCAGTGCGCGGCATGTGTAGACATTTGTACAATTTTTTTAAGTGGATTTAGAGTATTCGATCCAAGATGACGCACATCCTGAACCCTAACCTGGTAAACATACAATGTTCAGGTTGTGCGCCATCTTGGTTAATATATAATTCAGGAGCGCCTTTTTGTTAAAAAAAAACTATTTCATAACTACATGGTTTAGTTTTGCATACATAGTAACATTGAATCTCCTTACAATGAATTTTAGTAGAATAAATGGTAGTTTCTTTCACTAATACAAGCCAAGATCCATCGACAGCATCTAGCCACTTTCTATTGCGCTCTTCGAACTACATTTGCGTTGCTACGCGCATTTCGTTTTCCTAGTTTAAGCTTAGGGACTTGGGGAATATTTTATTAGTTGAATTGGATTGGAATATTTGACCTCGTCTTCCACTCCGAACAAGGCCATGTAAAACCATCCACTGGTATCTAAAGATGTGTAACGTGTTTTCTTTTGGAAGAACCGCAACCTTTCAGTGCTGCATTGACTTTGATAAAATTAATATATCCTTGTGGAGATAGAAGGTATGCGTATGCAAAACCGAGATGTGCACCTGTTATGCCAACATAGTTGAGTCAAACGTTTTGAATACCAGTACATCACACACATTTTCCTGCGTGCTTCGGTTGTACGTAGTAACGCGCACATGCATCAAATTCCACTTGATTATTGAGCTATAGGTTTTTGACGAGCTCTTGTGTATAATTTCATTCCATAGAATTTGTATGCTATTCTAAAGAATACTAGTTTAAGCTTTTTCATTCATTCAAACCGCGTGTTGAAAGTAAGTTTTGTAATATTGCGTGTTGGTTTCCAACATCCTTAAATCGGTGATGCCAGTAAATCTTTAATACGAAAAGATCAGTAACATCTGCAATAAAAACAGCAGTACTCACTCAAATGACAGCTGGGGGATAGATACTCTTAGTATCTGCTCCATCGCGTGCCTCTTACAGTCTTACCAGTTTACATGAGTGCCAATTGGTATCTAAGCTCAGCCAGAGACAAAAAGACATTTTTTCCCAGGGATATACTATAAAATGTAGCAATTTTCTCATTCTTGTTCTCGTGATATCATTATCTTTCACTGCGTCGTCGTGATCATCCCGCTGCACATCAAACACAAATCTGGGTCGAACATTTAAAGTTTGATAATTACCAATGTTTGTTCTATCCAAATTCAAATGTAAATCTCAATCTGTATTGAATGGTAGCACATAAATTATTGTACAATTGGTATCTGTTTGAAAGTAATTCGATTCTTGATATACAGTATAAAAAATTGGGAATGAACTACAAAACGCTTAATATTTTTGTTTTGAGATTTGTTTATTTTGTTATCCAAGTATGATAATACTCATGTATCATTTTTCACTTGTGTGGTTTTAATTTACTGGTATCACTTTTTCTTCGCACACAATCAAGGACTGGTACGCCTTAGGAGTCGCAGTCTTCCTGCCTTAAAGTTTGACATTCCGTCTTATTCTTTATTAAAAATCCTATGCAAAAAGAGACGTGAGTTGTGTGTGGTAAATGTTGTTCATTATGGTACATCATGCATGTGGTAAAACGTTATTTAAAAAGGTGCCTGAATATATGCTAATTATGCATTAGATTGTATTTGGTTCTAGAAGTGACTCCCGTTTTCCTAAAAAATGTAAATTTTCTGTAAATTTCAACTCATATTGAAATCGATTTTCCAAGTAATGTATTTTCGTATTTAATATACAGCAATAGTATATTCATTCTCAAATTTTTTTTGGAACGATACATTTGGAAAGTTAGCAGGTGATGAACCATTTAGAGTTAGGACACTTATAATCAAATTATAGTTTAATAAGACAACCTTGAAGGAAATAATAGGCATATAATTTATTTTAATGTGATGTATCAGCTTGCTTATATATTCAAAAATATTACTGCTACCTGCATTACTTTTTTCTACATTTATTTGTAATTTATGTTTGAGTGTACTGACATCCATTAGGAAACCTCCAACAGCACATATTGAGAAAAGAAAAAATAGGATTACCGTACACATTTCATTAGGTGGAATGTGTTATCTGTAGTTACTCATGTTACTGAACACATGCCATTTTTGTACTATATATCAATTATGTATGAAGTTAGGCAACAAATAAATAGCATATCCATTACCAATTTTGTTTTAAGCTGCCAATGAAGAAGCAATAGCAGATGCATTGCAGAAATTGGCAGAACGTCAAGCAGCACGACAGTATTCTGCAACTAGTCAATTGCAAGCCTTGACTCAACATCTCTCAAACATAAATTTGGCAAATATGTCTGCAGCACGACGGCAAGCCGGTAATTAAAAGAGTAATACTAACTCTGAAGGTTTTTTCTGGTCATAATATAAAGAAAAATGATTGTATGAAAAAGTCTGTAACCTTAGAGAATTGAAATGAAAAAAACTTAATTTTACTTTTAATCATACATTCAACTATAATGTATTACATATTATTCACACCATCTAATGTTGAACCTGTGAGAAACCTGGAAGATAAGCTAGCAGGCGTAATGAAGCTTCGTTCTTGCTTTACTTTCCATCGCATAGTTAATGCTTTTTGCTGATTTTCATACCGTCTCGAATGGAGCCCAAACTGACTTTGCTTCAAACTTGTTGATCACCAAACTTGCACACCTCCGTTGTGTCACCCAACCCGCAGGATCGCTCTTCTTGATTGAGAATTTACTCCAATCTTTATTATTCAAAGAATCAATAACACTTACTAACTTGGTGAAGCTTTTTAGGAATCTGCCCTAATATGGATGACAAATTAAATGTCATCTACAGTATCACAGTATTAAGGAAGCTTGATAACTATTGTTCATTGCAGCTTGATAAAAATATTCTCACATTCGATTAATCTTCTGTATTTCACAGTTCAACAGCAGCATAATTTGGGATCTCAGCGAGCATCCAGTCTATCAGATCTTGCTGCAACGGATCCTTCTGTGCAAAGTATGATGGAAAATGGTTTATGGGATGCTGATGCAGGCATTACGTTATCAGGTAGATGTTGTTTGTTGCTCTTACTATTAACAGGGCAACTCATACAATCTAAAAATTTCTTAATTACTTCAATGAAAATGAAAACAAAATTTGTTTGAGTATGTTGTAAGCCTACCCAAAAGTTATGTTCCCTCTAGAACAGGGTTGTGCAACCTGTGGCCTGCGGGCCAAATGCGGCCCACAAGGGAAATTGTGTCACGGAAAAGTGCCAATTTTGAATGGTGTGCTGCCTGCGAAACGAGTTTTCAATTTAGTTTAATCTGGTATGTGCGAGTAATTACAATCCCTTTCCCTTGCAAAGCCAACACTTGAGTTCAATTTATTATCTATGCCTATGATAACAATGCTCTAACACAGGGGTTCTCAAACTTTTGGTGTTGCGGAGCCCTTAAAAAGGTTGACTATTATTCACGGAGCCCCAGAATAATGTTAAAATTGATACTTTCCGATTAATATTCCGGAGTAAGTTAAACGTACTTTACTCAATTTATATACTAAACCCTTTTAATAAGGTTAATACAAGTCATAAATAAATCTAAATTTCAAAGATAAGTTGTATATACTGAAGCTGTAAATTTGGCACATGACAAACATATTAATAAATTAGGGGTTGAATCTTTTCCCCTCTTGACATTTTTGGAAGACTTAAACCTCAAACATCTTTACGCAGGTGTTTATTCTCCCTGAATCAAAATTTCCTTCGTCATATACATGTATTGTTCCACAATGACGACGATAATTGCTTTTTCGTTCTCGTGGGGAATTATGAGTTCAATGTGAGAAACATGTAACCATATTATAATCATCGCCGACCAAATGCTAAAAATAATAGTTAATAAAGAGGTAAATCGGCAATTCAAATTTCTTGATTAAAAAGCGGCATTCTAAAATATTAGAACCAAACTCAAAATGGAAGATAGCACTATAAGTTTTGTTTCAGCAGACTCACGTGAGAAAAAAACGCTCCTATAGACATTGTAAATCACAAAATTTGGTGTTATGTTAGGTTTTCTTCGGTTATGCATCGTAGTAACTGCGAAATTGAAACACAGTCAATTAATTATGCGCGCGATGTACCATTTTTTCATTCTGAAACTACCGACGGAGCCGCATGCGCTAAAATAAATTTCAATCGTTCGTATTTTTCCAAGACCTTGTGATTTTTCAAACGGCGATATCTTGCTTAAAAATAATATCGAGTGCGAAAGAAAAAATCAAGTTTAACAAATCCCAAGATCGCAAAAATATGACTCCAATTTATTTGTAGTTGGCAGTTTATGTTATTTTAGAATAGTATTTTTTTCATTTTAGTAATCCTAACACTAACAGTAATCTCGAATCGAACGTGAGTAACGATGAGCACAATTAAATTATTACGATAAGATACTTCAAATGCTCGCATCGGACATGAATTGAATATTTTACGCAACAGAAATCTCGTTATCCGTTTTTTTTTGAATCGTCAAGAATGTTACGCGTAAATTTCCGATTCCAATTTTTAACCTCCTCCCTCTTAAGAATCCTGGCTGCGCTCCTGCTTATAAATAATGTCATTTTTTAATTCCGCCACTTTGCCATATTTCTAGGCTATATTGTTGTCAAATTTTATTAAAGCTGTTACTGCTTCTAGGAATAGTTTTAAATTAGCCAAGTCGGTATTTTAAAAAGTAATAGAATAGCTCGCGGAGCCCCTGGGTTTATCTCGCGGAGCCCTGGGGCTCCGTACGGAGCACTTTGAGAACCTATGCTCTAACAGATAGCTTGTGCAAAACAAACAACTGAAATTTTATTGTGCATGCAACTACTGGAAAGCCTATGTTAAATGAAGGTTCGGCCAACGGTTTCACCCAGATATTTGTATCTGGCCCTCTTGTATAAGCAATTGCACACCCCTGTTTTAAAATATGAATTTTTCGCAACATTACCATGTAAAATTAAAATAGCTTAAGGAGTGTTACGGTACTACTTGGGAACTGACGTAAATGTGATGAGAAAAAAGAGATGCTTTTGATCGATGTTATGACAATGCCACTGTTTCATGCAATCATCTATGTTATCTAGATATTATTTTCTATTAAATTGAATTTTTTTTTTCAAAATTGATTCAAATCGCTTTGATTTATTAAAATTCTGAAACTTACATCGCTGATGCTGGTAAACAGCTCGTTTGGCGCTTCATAAGTGTGTGTACTAATATGGAGGGAACTAATTTTGTTTGCCTACTTTACATCGAGTTGTATAAAGGGACGAAGGCTATGGGCAGTGGGTATATTCACTTGGCTAACACAGACAGTCCCCGAACTCGTAATCGAACTAAAATAAAAAAATTGGAATAAAATTATGGCCTAACTCTAACCTGGTACACACACTACGGGAGTACAGCTCTTTTAATATGCATAGTGACGACATCACAAAATTCATCAGTTTTAAATAGATTTTTTGATATGTTATTACCACAGGTGCCAACAAATACAGAAATATTAACCCAGCTGGTCAATCTCAGGCATTGGCTGAACAAAGCAAAGAACTTCTGCAAGAAAGCAAAGCCAAACATCAAGCCATGGTGGCTCAGGTAGCACGGGTGAAAATGATTTCTACTAATTTCAATAATTCTTTTTTTATTAATTTATATTAATTAAAAGACCTGTCTTGCATAGTATTTTGTTGTGTTCAGTTTTAATTGCATAATAATACATACTAATTTTTAAATAATTTTTCATTCAATTATAAAGAGTACAGCGCTTTTACGGGTGGCACGATGACGTAGCAGTTAAAGCTTTAGGCGTAACTGTGCTGGCATTGTAAATTACATATCTTGGGTACAAATCCCATGCCCCCACTTCACCCAGGGTGTAATAAGTAGAGTGAGCGGCGCTCCAGAAGTGTGTGTACCATTATGGAGGTAAATAATTTTGTTCGCCTACTCCACATCAAGTTGTGTAAAGGGACTGAAACCTATTGGCAGAGGGTATATTGACCTGGCAAACAAACAGTCCCGAACTTAAAATAATGAAGATTGTAATAAAAATAATTCCCTAATTTTAACCTGGTACACATACTACTGGAGTACCGGCTAGGCAATGGCGAACCGGTAAGGTGCCGGTTCTGCCAAATAATAGTAGCTCCGAGCATATTAGATATCAGCATCTGCTTGTATAAAACCAGCAAAAGGACGTGAAAAATATATAATCAACAGATTACTTTCACATGGTTCATGATTTACAGGTTATTGATGGGTGGAGAGGAGAGACAGATATTGAGGTTAATAATGCAGGAAATTTTTACGATGAAGAAAGTTTTATTTCAAGTGGAGTTCAGTGCATTGAGCCACAGAGGAGAAATTTCCTCGATTCTTTAATGTGTGGATGGGATGAGGAAGAATGTGAAGAAACCACAGAGGATCAATGTTCAAAATTGTGCAGAATAGAAACAGTTTCAGCTTATAGATGGGAATCACCAAGAAACAATTCACCAGAAAAAAGTCTTTTCTATTACAGACTTGTAGAATCTTATGTTCCATTAAAATATTCCGTCACCAAATTTTGCCCATGCAGTAAAAAAGCAGTTGATGATTCTAAAGCTAGTTTGCCATCATCAAGTGAGAAAGGTTCCTTGACGGAAGATTGTAGACCGAAAGTTAAATCATGTATTAACCATGACTGCAAAGATATGAATGAAAAAGACCTAGTCAAGGGGAACGGTAGCATGCCAATTTTGATCATAAACGCCAAATCAGGCCAAAATCAAGAGTAGAAAATGTTTGGAATTCATACCATAAAACTGGTTCAAACAGTAGCAATCCATCCGCAAAATCATCGAAATCTCTAAAAAAAAATTCCAGAGAAAGTTCGGACAAATCATCGAATGAATTGAGCCTTGATACGTCTTCAAGTACAATGGTATATAAGAATGCCCTAGACTGGGCAAAAACGGGAGACAATCATACTGTACAAAACGCTATATCAGGCATCAAAGGAATGTTTGAGGCAGGAGAACTACCTTGTAAAAGATGGAGATATCAGAATTCATGCGCAGGTTCCATAAGAACAGCAGAGAGCTGTAGGAAAAACAAAAAGGAAGTTGTTAATAGTAACAAAGAAAGAAAAGCTACCCAAGAAAAAACAGTTAAGAGAAAGGTGAATGTATTTGGGATTTCCACTACATAGAACTAGAAGCTGTAATTTAAAACTAGTATCGGTAATATTTGTGCTGTGTTGTAATTTATTAAATTCATTGCTGTTGTAATTGTTTTTTTTTTGCTAAAAAATCTTGGTTGAATTGAAATATATCATTGTTTTTTGTTTTTTTTCCAACCTGTATTGCCGTTTATTACTTTTTTAACAAGTTTTTGCATCACATGCAGGCACATAACATGGTTTCGATGGGAGTTGATGCAAAATCACAACACGTATATGAGAACAGATGACTCATACTCACTCAGACATCGTCCAAATTCAGCCTCATCAATAGCTCATAAACTGTCATCTTCAGCGAATGCATCTACCAATAATAGTTCTCGACCACCTCAGGTGCCATGACCACCAGAAAAACCTAAACCTGTTGAAAGAGTTGTTCCTACTGTGAGAAAACAATTAGGTGAGTTCTCTCATTATCATTGATGGAGTAGAATTGTATAAGTTTTGAAATCCCAACTAACATCAGTTAATAATGCCTGGCAGTGGAGTCTGGTCACTGGTCAGAGTTTGGTGTTTTTGTTGATATTGGAGTCAAAGCTGTATTTCAATTTCACGTTGAAAATTGTTTCAATTGTAGCATAGTACAGTATTCTAGTATGTGTCTAATTTTGAGTAGGCTGCGTTTGGACTCAACTTGTGTGCAAAGTTTGATTAGGAATGGGGCAACAAATTGGCTTTTTTAATTTTGCAGATCTATTCTTATTAGGAATCAATTTCACACACTATATTTACATTATCTAGAATTATTACATTATTCGTAGATGAGAACAGAATCTCCAACTTTAAAATTTCCCTCAAGTAAATTGAATTATGTCATGATTCTCCTCGTAAATACAAAAAAATGGATGATACAGTAATAAATGAATTTTCATTAACAATTTCTGAAGAAACTTCTGCTTTTTTTGTTTGATTACCATATTTATTTCACAATTTGACTTGTTTTCAGAATTTTTTCGTAGATTTCAATAATATCTTGTGATATTATATTTGCTTGTGTGTTGTGTTTTTATTGGTTTGCATTGCTTATTGTTTTTGAATAGGAAATACTAAAATCACTCGAACGGGAAGTCACCCAATGTTGACGGGTTTGTCCCCAAATCCTTCTACTATGACAGTGAATGATGATAGCCTTCAACTTGACTTTTACAACAGTTTCAAATATGACAACTCGACAGGATCAACTAGTATCGTAGAGAAACCACAAGAGTATCACACTGTGGGAAATACAAATGGTGGTAAGTTGTTTTGTAATAGCTTTAGTAAGAAAGCAAGTTGGATTACAAATTCCGATGTAAAATAAAGGTTCTTACGCTATTATTGAGTTATAGTGTAAAGGAGGGTTTCCCAAACTGGGGTCCATGAACCCTTAGGGGTCGGTGATGACTGCACAGGGATACAAATGGATTGTAATCTTATCAAATTTCTGTTAGTTTTATTTCGTTTTAAAGTATCTCAAAATTTATTTATATATAAGTTCTAAAATTCTAATAAATTCTACTAGTTAAATTTGAGTCTGTGATATTTCTTACTGTTCTTCATGAGAATATCATGAATTTTTAAAGTGCTATAGTAAATAATCAATTTTTTTAGCTGTAAATGTTGTATCAAGACCATCCAGTGCCAAACGACCGACTTGGAAACCTTGAACCAATTTCTACTTCATCTGTGTGTTCTATTCAGATAATGACATCAAAGATTTGTTCTGTATCGATTCGATTCTTATTTTTATTCCAAATGTTATGCAATACGATATTCAACAATATCAAAGTGAAATGCTGAACCAAACTAATTTTAACCATATTAAGTATTAAATTTTATATAGATATTATTAACCACTATTATTTTTTATTTTCGTTATTAGAAACTGGTATTTCATTTATTACATATATAGCACATTAATTCTGTTCCTGATGTTTAGTAGTATTGCTAAATTAACTGATGCTCTGATATTGTTTGAATAGACTATTAGTCTTTGAAAGCATCATTTAGTTTATTGGTGCTCTATGTTCTCGCTTAATTAAAACAATACATAACAAGATAAAGAAGGTTGATAGAAAATTAATGAAATTTCACCCGCTTTTGACACTTTCAGAGATTCTAGCATTGTTTCTGTAAAGCAACAGCACTGTGATTTCTCTAAAGTGATGAACTGCTGTATTACCAGTAACTTGAAATGTTCTAGCGTTTTTGTACTTATCACATTTGTTTCTAGATGTTTTTAACTCTTGTATACTACATTATTTATACCAATGTGAGTACATTACACCTTTTATACCTGTCGAAATTGATTTTCCTATTATGCCAAACTGTGGTTACTATTCCTGTTTTTTCCCCTTTTTTCTCGCTTGGTGAACATACTTAATTGTATAATTTATATTATAGTGGCAAAATGTTATTTGGTCTATAACATTGAAGAGCTGTACTTAAGACTATCAAATTTTTACATTTATTTGAATGTTTTGCGTCATTGTTTTTTGTATTGTACTAATACCAGTTAACATTGTTTGCTGCATTTAGTGAGAAAGAAATCTTTTTCAGTGATTCAGTGAGCAACATTTTTGCTACACCAAGATAATTTATCAATGCAATCTGGTAAACAAATATTAGCAAGTATTGCTCATGAATTCTGTTTCTTTTCAGTACAATATACATGTAGGCTCATGGACGAGTTTTAGTAGTAAATTGA